AGACCAGAAACGCATCACGTAACTGTAAGAGTAAATAATAATTATAATAAAGATGATAATAATAATAATAACTATGCACCCGTTTGAAAGGAAGCTCTAAAAAAATATTACTTGAAAAATAAAACAAATAATGGTAAATTTAATTGAAAGACAAATTATTAATTGGATGAAGTACTTATTAGTAATTAATAAGTTAGTAATTATTCCATGTCAAATAGTTAGGATAATCTATCTATCTATCTATCTATCTATCTATCTATCTGTCTGTCTGTCTGTCTGTCTGTCTGTCTTTCTTTTTGTCTGTCTGTCTTTCTATCTGTCTGTCTATCGGTCTATCTATCCGCATAACCACTGTATTCACCTAATGATTTTACTTTTAGCTGAGAAATTTATTTGCTGTTTGTTGTTGTTGAGGCTTGGTATAAAAAAAACATTAACCCCTTAAACTTGCATGTGCCTCTGATTCACAAAAGTATGTCAGACAAGATAAAAGTATCAGTTTGACATCATAGCCATGTGCTTTCTGAAAATAAAAGAAAAAATTAGTTAAGGACAAATTCTCAGTGTGGTACATAACATTACTAAGATGAATCAAAAACGGTTTACTAGTTTGTGTGCACTGGGAGCTTTCATGTGCTTTGAAGGACACAAAGTGCAAATTAACCAAATCTGCCGTGTGAAAATGCAAATTAGCATTTGAATATGAGCGTTGAGACATTGTGCTGCAAATTTTCTTGAGGTGAACTATTCCTGTAAAAAGAAACTATAAAACGTGAAATGTAACAAAAAATAATGTGTCTCTGTCCATGGTGCTGAAATCATACTTATGACAAGGTGTGTTTCAGCAGAACACCTCCACCTGTCTTTGATTAGATTAATTAATTAATTATTCCTGATTTGTAAATGATCACAAGTCCTTTTTTTTTAAATATACAATAGCGATTGTGAGAGAGCGAAAATGTTACACCACACTGTAGGCCTTTTATAATGCCATCAGCCTAAAACATGAGGAGGTCAAACATCATTTGAGTTGCAGTTTAGTCAGCCACTCTCACGCTTTAATCATAAGATCATAAGAGACTCAATGGAAAGTTTCAGCCGCAGAGGTGCGAGGTATCTAATTCTTTGCATTCTCGATCTTAGTAGGTGATTGCAGTTTGGTTGGTGGGGTTTTTTTTTTTTTCTTGTGGTAGGGCTCATAGTCCAAAACCACAAGTGTATAAAGTGTCATGCTGCTGCTTCTACCAACATTAGACAACAGAGAAAAAAAGTTTCTTATTACACACCAACTTTTTTAAATGCCATTTGCATTTATAATTATTATGCACGCACCTAATAATTTTCATATTAATTGAGTGGTCACTGGAATTTATGTACATTTAAATATTAATTTGTCACTATTTAAAATGTGAATTTTAAAAAAGATTATTAAACCGTAAAATGTAATAAATAGTGACCAATTACAGGATATACACTTTCCCTTAATCATATACATTTTAACCTAAAATATTGATATTGGTAAAACATACAATTTTCAAATTAAATATTAAAATGAGTGCTGTTAAATAAATTCAGGAATAGTCTTATATATATAAGCAGGTGGAATTGTACTACTTGATAAAACTGCTTGATTTTTGTGTTTTGTGACAAAAAAACGTGTTTGGAAATAAATGTGTCACAAAACACTGTTTATATGGTTTACATGTAGTGAAGTCAGACTTTACATCTCAGTTTTGTGAGTGGAAACAACAGACACACACCTTAAATAAACAACATCTTGTATTTCTGCTCAATTGACCTGTGTTGTAGCCTGGAATTAAACCACGCCATTCTGGTTTGTCTGGCCAGAGGAGAACTGGCCCCCCCCACTGAGCTTGGTTTCTCCCAAGGTTTTTTTCTCCATTTCTGTCACCGATGGAGTTTTGGTTCCTTGCCACTGTCGCCTTTGACTTGCTTAGTTGGGGACGCTTGACTGATTGCACAGACACTATTGGAAGAGAGCAGAACTGGATGATGACATCACTGAATCATCAATGAACTGACTTTAGCTGAACAATGACTCTTTGTTATGGTCCTCTTGCATTATTGACAAACTATTTTCCTGTTTGACACTGTAAAGCTGCTTTTACACAATCAGTATTGTATAAAGCGTTATACAAATAAAGGTGAAAAATGAATACACTTAAACATAGTGTTTGCATTACACACTGAAGCTAATGACCGAATAGTTTATTCAAAATAAAAAATAATTGAATTGTAGTCTTTTATTTTTCCACACACCTGTAATGCTGCAAAACATCAATCATAATTTTAGTGCAGTGTAGACCAACCGCATAAAACATTTATCACTAATGTAATGGTAGACAATAAAATTAAATTATTGCTAATCTAAAAGCTGAACTAAAGCTCAATCTTTGTGTGTTGGTCTGCTGAAGTTCACCTCACCAGGACTCGTTCTGCACTGAACTGCTATTTCCTGTCACTCCCAACAGGAAATGATTCTTTGTTTCTAACCCCTGACACTTTATTTGACGAAAGGCTGCTTTTGCTCAAACACAGCCATGCGGTTTGAGGTGTGGTTGGTCTACAATCGCTATGCTCACATATCTCTTAAAAAAAAAAAAAAAAGGTTAATAAGCTAAATACAACTTATTTAATGATCCTCTAAAACATACTACACTTACAGTGCACAAGTTTGTTATTTAGCTAGTACCTACACATATATATTTTAATTACAGGCATTGCACTCCTCATTATGGATTTCCTGTTTATGTTCACATAAAAAAAAAATAATAATCTTTATCTTTTTGCCAATGTGCTGTTTATGTAACCCTACCTGTTTGCCAACATGGCCCACAACATTTCAAACATGTTCATAAAAATGAATCATGATACTATGACTGCAATATCTCCTCCTATTGACTGACCTTTAGTTTTATTATTGTTGTAAGACTCTCTCAACAGCAATGTGCCATTACGCTTCTACATTTGAATGTAATATGATATTTTAAAATACACTGAATAACAATTAACATTGTAAATCATACATAATTGGACTGATTTTAGAAGATTACAAATAATGGACAACTATTTAACTACCTATATCAGAAGTTTTATGATGAAAAAAAAAAATTTCAAGATCTGTAAGAAGTGAGTTTATTAGCATAATTTTATTATTTTATAACATTGCAATATAAATTTTAGACGACCCTCTAGTTCTATACAGTGCATATTACAGTCTGCTTTAATACAGATGGACGCATGTACAGTGTAAAAGCCACACCCCCTTCAAATAAATAAAGCCGAATTTGATTATTCTCATTTGAGCTGATTTGACTGGAATGTAAACATGAATTTGTCTGCAACACATCCTCTGATGCTCCTTTTAATAGGTAAATAAACTTTTGTGATGTTTGCTATAGAATGTGAGACAATGACAGAATGACAATGTTCGCCATGAATTGAATAAATATACAGTAATATGTATAGCTACTATATACTTATACTGTACATGCTATAATAAAGTTATTGTTCTATAAAATCTGTTTAAATTAATAATTTGCCATTGCATTGCCATTTAATTTTTATCTTAATATTTTTAGCTTATGATTAGGTACTTACATTCATTTAATTCCTTCAGTTTTAATGGGATAGTTCAATCAAAAATTAATTCTGTCATCATTTACTCAACCTTATGTTGTTTCAAATCTTTGTTACCTTATTTTGTTCTTTGTGGAACTGAAAGTTATTAAGAAATGTCCCAGTGATTTTTTTTAATTAGTTTTTTCTGTACAATTTTTCAAAGATTATTTTGTTTTTCTGTACAATTTTTCACCAACGGTCATCATAATATGTTCTTTTATTTTTGATTATTTAGTTTTTCTATTAAAATATTCACCAACGGTCTTCATAATATGTTCTTTTGAGTTCCACAGAAGATATGAAATATACAGTAAAATATATCATAGAAATTACTTTGTCACATTGTGCTATACAGTTATTTCGGACACAGTGCAACACATTGTTTAGATGCAATGTAAATGCAAAGTGCAGCTTATTTTTTTTATCTGATTCAATGTCTTTAACTTTTTTCTTGGTGTTGGTGTTTTTCAGGTGTCATCTTTGTAAAACAAGCATCTTTAACTTTCGTGAAAACTGTGAACAGTGGAACTACTGTCACTCTTTTGTGTTCAAACATCTTGAAAGAGCCCAGTTACATAGCCTGGTTCAGGCAGACAAATTATTCTCTGCCACTTTGCATTGCTACTCAATATGTGAGTGTAAACCCAGTGGACTCCATATATTTTAATGGCTTTAAGAAGAATCATGTAGAGATGTCAGTGAACAAAACATTTTCTTCCTTGAAGATTGTAAATGTGGACGTCTCTGACTCTGGAATTTTTTACTGTGGAAGCTTTTTGACAAACCACATGATGTTTCACGACAAAACACAGTTAGTGGTAGTAAATGGTAATATTTAAAACCTCATTCAGTCAGTATCTTTTATAATTCCAACATTTTTCAAATTCAGTGTAGTTACTATTCAGTTACTATTAATTACTTTGTATTCAATTTTATCTTCAAAGAGACTAATCATTTTGAAGAGGATATTGCAAGTGTGGATTGTGGTATGTGTCATACATTTTAAACTATTTGGCACTCAAATTTGGCACTCATTCATTGCATTTTTTATTTCTAGCTTACAATGATCTTGTTCTCATTGTTTTTCCCCTTCTCTGTTTTTTTTTTTTCTTCTTCTTCTTTTTCTTTTGAATGGCTTTAACAGGGGCGGCTGAAGAAACTTCGAGATCCTGCCATGTCTATTATACACTGACAGTGATTCTGAGTGGCTTTTTTCTTTTGCTTCCCACTGTATTTGTGATTGTAGTCTTACTCAGATTGAAGGAAAGAAACAAGCAGAAGGGCATGTTAACTTTAAATACAAACTAAAATATACAATAAACCTTTAAACATTAGATCTAAACAAAACAAATGCCCTGGGATGGTAATAATGATTGATTTTCTTGTTTTCTTAGATGCCCAGTCTCAGGGTCACAATGAAGAGATGCACAGTCACTTGCAAAAGGTTTTCAAAAAAATTTAAATCAAATTTTAATTATTTACAGTGGAGATCAAAATTAGAGAACAATCTATAAATACTTGGCATTTCCACAAAATCCTTTATTTTGTGGAAAACAGGGATCAAAATTAGAGAACAGTAACCACTGTAGCATGAAAGAAGAATTTTGGAGGTTTACAGCTGTCAGAAATTAGTAGGAATTGTAGGCCCCTGCTTTGAATGACTTCAGCACATCTGCAGCCACAGGACATCACTAATTTCTCACACTGCGCTGGTGTGACCCGCCATCTTGAAATCTCAGGGAAAATTTGAGGAATGCTGGCAGTTAAATAGGGTTTGTCATATAATTAAGGAAATTAGCGCCAGGTGGCAGATTAACACCAATAACTTGGAGGTATCTGCAAGTGTTCTCTAATTTTGATCAGAGTTCTTTTTCAAATATCTCATTTAAGTTTTTTATACTGTGCTTCAGAATACAATTAATTTATGAAATATGCTTAAAAACTGCCCTTCTATTCCTATTAGGATAACTTCAAATAGGACTAAGCAGCGACCTTGAAATTTAGGAAATTGTAGATTGATCTCTAATTTTGATCTCCACTGTGAGTGTTTGTGTGTGTTATATATATATATATATATATATACGTATTTGTATATGCTTATGTATATGCATTTATTCACAGGCTAGCTTAAGCCATTATAATACGATGAATCTGACTGAAATGTTGCTTTAGAGTGGATCAAAAACCTTTTTGAAGAAGACTGAAAGGTACATATGAGTGAGTGATGGGGAGACACATGTTGTTTAGGCTGCCATAAAATGATCTACAGATTATTACCAGATTATTTTTTGTGGAGCACTAAAGACTGGTTAATATATGACTGTATGCAAATATTAAATCATTCAATCCTTTTGAACCTTGTCACCAAAAAGTGAAACTCTGCTTGTGTGTTCTTAGTGGTGAGTTAAGGTGTGTTGTGCTAAAATAAAATAAAAATGATTTTGAATTTCTGCTTCAAATGGCAAAATACTGCATATTGTGTGTTTTCTTTCATCGGTAGTTTAAGGATTAATTCTAACTAGAGAGGACACACTTGAATGACATATAAATCACAACAGGTTTTATTGCCCTAACTAAGGTCTATTTAATGGCTTTAAATGTACCTTTTCATGGTCAGATACTGCTACAGTTGCAGCATCTGTGCCATCTTAGCAGTGTAAAGACAGCAATAAATAAGCAAAATCTCAAGCTCTACCAGTGTCTGTGGACTGCAATTTTTATGCCATATGGCTGACAGACTTAAATTCAAGACTAGGCTCTGGTTGGGTCATTCCAGAAAATTAAATTCCAAGCCAGTCTAAAAGCAAATCTGTGAAATAAACTTAAATTTCATTCTACTCAAGGTTGTATCAGGTTTCCAGGTCCTCAGGCTGCAAAAGAAAAAAAAACATATAAATAAATTAATTTGCATCTTTATTTGTTCTGTGCTAGACATTCTCTGAGAAGTGAATTTGGGAGGAGTGGAATATATTGTTGTATTTCTGCCAGTAAAGACAAATAGACTAGTCTTCTGTGTGTCGGTGTGGAAAGACATCTCATCTGCAGATGCCGATTTCAAGAAATGATTTACTAATTGTAGAGGGAACTGATATGCAAATGGTTCTTGTCTGCTCAAAAAAACCTGACCAATGCCAGAGTTTAAATCTTACTTGTTGTGTTGCATATTTATGTATATATTTTATATTTGTGAAATGGTTACTTACAGTAATAATTATCTGACAATCTGCCAATTTAAAAGCAATACAGACCATTTACAGTATTTACTGGATAGTGTCAGGGTAGATTCCAAAATCTCCTATTAACTCTTACTCTCACTACTGGGATAAATAGCAGTGGGGATTTTGATTCATCCCAATCGAGTCTTTTGAATCTGCTGACCAAAAGTCTTTTGAATGTGTTTACTAGATATTTCAAATTACATTTACACGAGTAGGCAGCGACAAATGAGCATCTGTTATGTGAAAAAGTCAATGAATCATTAAACTGATTTGTTAAAAAGTAATTCACAAACAAAACTGCTCTTATTATGGTTTATTAGAATTCACTGACTAGTTCAGTACTAGCTCAGTGAGTCAAACCTATGATGCACTCCTTCATAGACCACAGCTGAAAGGGTCAACACTAAGGCTTTAGAGGCAGCATAAATCTACAAGGAATCAGGTACAAATCAAAATGCATGACATGACTCCTTTGTAATTAATTCAATTCAATTCAATTCAAGTTTATTTGTATAGAGCTTTTCACGATACAAATCGTTGCAAAGCAACTTTACAGCAAATTAAGTTTCTACAATATTCTTGACCTGGTAAGGACTCTAGCCGCTGCATTTTGGACTACCTGTAGCTTGTTTATTGAGGATGCAGGACAACCACCTAGCAGTGCATTACAATAGTCCAGTCTAGAGGTCATGAATGCATGAACTAGCTTTTCTGCATCAGAAACAGGTAACATATTTCGTAACTTGGCAATGTTTCTAAGATGGAAGAATGCTGTTTTTGTAATATGGGAAATATGATTTTCAAAAGACAAGTTGCTATCTAATATAACACCCAGATTTTTGACTGTAGAGGAAGTAACCGTTCATCCGTCTAGTTGCAAATTGTAATCCAAGAGATTCTGTGTACTGTTTTTTGGTCCAATAAGTAATATCTCTGTCTTATGCGAGTTTAATAGGAGAAAATTATTGGTCATCCAATCTTTTACATTTTTAACACATTCTGTTAGCTTATATTATTTAGAAGTTTCATCTGGTCTTGTTGAGATATATATAGTTGAGTATCATCAGCATAATAGTGGAAACTAATCCTGTATTTTCTAATAATATTACCAAGGGGCAACATGTATATTGAAAATAGCAGAGGACCTAGGATAGATCCTTGTGGCACTCCATATTTTACTGGTGATAATTGAGATGACTCCCCATTTAAATGAACAAAGTGGTAGCGATCGGACAGGTAGGATCTAAACCATCTTAAAGCCTGCCCTTGAATACCTATTTAAATAATACCTAATACCTAATTAAAGGATTAGTTCACTTCCAGAATAAAAATGTCCTGATAATTTACTCACCCCCATGTCATCCAAGATGCTCATGTCTTTCTTTCTTTGTAGAAATTAAGGTTTTTGAGGAAAACATTCCAGGATTTTTCTCCATATAGTGGACTTCAACGGTGGCCAACAGGCTGAAGGTTTCAATGCACCTTCAAAGGGCTCTACACGATCCCAGCCGAGGAATAAGGGTCTTATCTAGCGAAACGATCTGTCATTTTCTTAAAAAGAAAAATAAGTAAGATTGATATACTTTTTAACCACAAATGCACAAATGCTTTTGGGGGGCAGAGACGACAGGTAGGGGGGCTGATGCCTACCTAAAAAGGCCCACCCTGGTATAGCGTGTGTAATTAAACTGAAACATAAATATATAACCAGCTTACCTGATTAAGTGTGATGGCTGAATCTGTTTCTGAGAGCACAACATGCCAATCTGTGGTTGGATTACCGACACAGCTAACTGTAAATCAACTTCCACTGAATTCAGCTTGCTTGACAATAATAAAGTCATTTTGGGTCAATCTGTGCAACAACTGAAAATATATTAAAAACTTCAGCTAAAGATTCAGTTAAAGATGTTACATGTCCTCTAAGTTGCACATAAGGGCTGTAATGTTTTTGAGAAATAAATTCAAAAAGTATTAAAACTAATGTGTCACACTTCTCGGGAGGCTAGGAGCGAGTAACGAGGAAACACAGAGATACTTCAATTCACAGTCTTTAATGATAACACGGGGTGGCTCGCGGATCGCAGCGGGAAATGGCTCTCCGTCATCGGTGGGCTCAGGCTGATGCTCCGTACCGCGGGGAGATGGTGGGCTGGGCTCTGGGTCCGGAGTGGATCCGGCGAGATCCTCCACGGGGCAGATGGTGAGTGGCGACCCGTTTCTCGCCAGAGTCCACTCCACGAAGGCGGCAAATTCCTCCCGAGGACCATCTTCGGACGACAACGCTCTGCACTCGGCGTTCAGGCTTGCGTCATAGAAAGCGCAGAGCGCGTCGTCCGGAATAGCTGGTGACGTTAGCGACCATCAGGAACAGTCTGGTATGGTCCTCGAGAGTCCTGCCCTCCTGCTCCAGCAGGAGGGCAGGAGGTAACTGTCCTCCTACTGTCCGTCCTACTAAACGGAGGTAACTGTTTTGGTCGGTCCTTCTGTCACACTTCTCGGGAGGCTAGGAGCGAGTAACGAGGAAACACGGAGATACTTCAATTCACAGTCTTTAATGATAACACGGGGAACGTAGGAGACACAGGAACACATGGAATGACGTTCAAGGACCGACAAACACTAACTGAAAGGACTGGGACTTTTAAACACTGGGTGATTGGGAAAACACAGGTGCAAGGAATGACTAATCAAAGGGAACACAGCACACCTGGGGAGGGAAAACACAACACAAAGAGTCCAGGGGCGTGACATAATGCTGGCTCATGAAAATTTTAAAACACTTTCATAGGTATTTCAACGTAACACATGTGAGGACAGCAATATGTCACACAAACAGAGAGAAGTCTTTATAAAACGTAACATTGCCAAGTTCATCTGAGGTGAAACATTTAGCTGTAATATAATTGGTAAAACTAAAGACAGACCTTACAGATTAAATTAAAAAATTACATTTATGCATTTAGCTTATGCATATGCATAATGCATGCTTATGCATTTTATCTAAAGCAACTTACAGTGCATACAGGCTATACACTTTTTACCAGTATGTGTGTTCCCTGGGAATTAAACCCACAACCTTTTGCGCTGCTAACACAATGCTCTCCCACTGAGCCACAGGAACACATATAACAGATATATGTTAATGTTGTAAAGACCCATCTTTGCCACCCATCAAAAGCTACTGAAATTTGAGGGTGAAAGCTGTGATACTTAAATTTGCAGCAAGAGTGTGTAAAACATT